TCAAAGATTAGCTCGAGAGCGATAGGCTGAGTCGGGAGCTATACTTTAGTGCTTTGCCGTGAAGTTGTCTTCACCGTTATAGCCTGAAGGCCGTGTTGCTGATTCTTTCAAATGTGTCTGTCGTAGTTCTTGGACGACTGTAACGCGTCTTTGGAACTGTCCTGTGTAATACTGACAAATAAATTGTGTTTTGATTCTTCATGAAATGTATTCTTCACGTAACAATCAAATGTATTCTTCATATAACAATCAAATGTATTCTCCATATACGTAAATTCTTCATCAATCACTCCAAATCCACAAACCCGTAGAACGCAAAGGACTGTACTGTGATCTACCTTCTGATACTTGGGACCTACAAGAAATACACAATCTCTGATTCGAGACCACAAGACACACACCTCTTTCATCATCCTAAAAATTTACGGATAGAAACCTCCCATTGAATTAGTTCTGGAAGCACGAGTTTTGTGAAAAAACTGTCTATAATTCATAGGCGTGATAAAAGTTTTTAATTTAAATGTAAATTTTCATGAACGAATTTTGAGGAAAGAGAGAAAGAAGCACAGGAATTCACAGTTCAAATCTTTTTGAACTGATGATGATTTGGGGGGGGGGACTTTTGGTCTAGACTCTAGAGTAATATAAAAAGTTTCTCTCCCAGCCGAGTTGATTGAAATATTATCAACTTCGTGGTCTCAAGCATTTGTACACAGTCTGACACGCCTTAAACTTAACCTCTATTTAGCATCGCATATGGCTCAGTTTCGTCTTCACAGGATAATCTATGTAATTTTCTAACGTAAATTGGGATTTTAAACAGAATCGACACAGTTAATGACTTTTGATAACCACATCAAAGCAGACATGCCATTCATACAAATGCAAATTCGAAAGCTTATCAGTGCAAAGAATAATTAATTTAAGAGTCAACAACAAGTTCGATTCACGAATAAGGTTTCCTGAACAGAAGGATTTTAAATGTGACCGCTTCGGCTATTTGTGAAGGAAAGGCCATTATCCACAAATTTCTTTGATAAAAGTATTTCGTTGTCTCAAAAGTCATGACGCATTTTTTCGGTATTCTTCAAAGGTCCTTCATTTATATAAAGAACAATGATCAGTCAATAGTATATTGCCCGTTTTGTTAAATAACTTTTAGCTCTCTTCGATTCTCGAACTGTTGGATTATTTGAGTTAGAAAATAGATTGAGAAGATACATCACAGCGTCTGAACAATATTGAAACAAAAGTGTATTTGATTACAGTCTCGATAACCATCTTCTATTTTTTCTCTCACAAAAAGCATTAAATGAAGAACATATTTTTAATAACAATTATTGGTTCAGCGATCAAACTTGTGTGTGGTTTTATTTCCAAGCGACCAATGAGCCAACAAAACTGTGTGCTATCACCAACTGGACATTTTCAACGAATCCGTCTTACAGAAACTTTCCGAGTCCATAATAATCATATTGCAACTCATTCTATCCCGATAATACGAGACCATACACAAGTTTGATCATCTGACAAAAATGATAGGAGTTTGGATGGATGATAAGTGTTGCTATGCATATCATACTCGCCTGATCTTGTGCCGTCAGACTTGTTTCGCTCTCGTCAAAATTTCTTTCTTGGTATAACATTCAATTTCAGATGAGGCCGTAAATCAGCATCTTGCTGAGCGTTTCGCTCACTAAGCTAAGTTCGTTTCTGAACGAGAAAATACGGAGCTCATTAAAAGAAATCAAAAAGTTATCGAACAAAACAGGCAATACTACTGACTGATCATTCTTCTGTATACAAATAAAAGACTTTTCAAGAACAAAGAAAAATATTCATCCCGACTTTTCAAGCAATCTAATAATTGATAGACTTCTCGCACCTCAAGCTTCAACAGAAATCTTTATAACATTTCACTTTAGGTTGCATCGAAGATAGATAAAGCATGTCAATAAGCAGCCAAAATTCTAAATACAGTAAGACCCCGCTTAACGATGTTTCGTTTAGCGCTGTTTCGGTTTAGCGCTCTTTTATTTCAACCCGGGGAATCCACGAAATCGCTCGCAGCATACGGGAATTCACCGAAATATTATGCAGCGATAGGTTTCAAATACATATCCGAAAGAGTGTACTTGTATTTCTTGTTTGGTGCGGTATTGTACAGACATATTTTGAAGGGGTAATGTGGAAGATGTCGAAGAAATAATTCAAGAAGCGGCGGCTAGTCTTTCTAATGATGAGCTCAAGGAATTAACTGAATAAGAAGAAAACAAAATGTTGACAGCAGTGATTCAGAAGAAGAGCAAAAAGAACTTTCGATGGCGTTTGTAAAAAGGAGTTTTCTACCATAACTGAAATAATGGATCAATTCATTGAAAAGATCCGAATTTTGACAGGAGCTCAAAAGTAAGGGCGTGGTGTTAGAGATGCTCTATCCGTTTATGAAGAACTTTAAGAGAACAACGCAAAGAAAAGGTAAACAACATTAGATGCTTTTGTCACAAAAGGCAGCAGACACTGAAAACGCGGAAGGCTAACTAAATATGACTGACTGAGAATTTTATTTGTTTTAAGAGTTCGTTTTGTTATTTATATTGTGTTTTTATTTTGCAAGAAATAATAATGTGGTATTAATTTGGCTTAAGAAATAAATGTTTGGTTTATTTTTATTAAAAAAAACAATACTTTTTAAATTTAATACCTAACCAATTTCCTAGCCATCTTCCCCTAACCCCAATATTTACATGTAAAGATAGCCTCGTTTAGCGCTGTTTCGCATTACGCTCTACTTTGATGGAACGTATCCCCCGCGTTAAGCGGGGTCTTACTGTACAAGCAAACACAATTCTATAATCTGCAGATCATATATCACCAATAATTCTGAATATTGAAATTTAATACTCTGTTTCTCATTAGTAAATTCAGAAATTCCAACTGTTTCAAAGCAAAATTTATTGTGCGTATAAATTAAGCGTAACTTCTTACTACTAGAACTGTGAATCCTCAAACTTAGAAGCACAAAACGACGCGCACAGTCATTTTTAATAAATTCAGTTTTAAACTTCTTCTGTCGTGAGATAGTAAGATATACAACTTCTGTTATAGTAAGATACAAATACTAACAGGTGCAACAGAACATTAGAAGTTAACACGTCACATAACAAATCTACACCCATCCGCCTCAAGTCGCGAAACGCTTTCCTTTCAAGAGTTCAATTTAGATCTGTCATAGAGCTATTATGATAGCCCTCTTTCGTTTCCATTATGTATAAAGCTTCATTCACCTTAAAAGGTTTCTAGTTAACGCCAGAAGTTATAAAATGAACATTAACTTGACGCCCACAGAACGCCCACTTCAAGTTCCGTCGTAAAACGCCTACTTGTACGCTTTTATAGGCCCATCTGAAGTTGCAAGTAACTGAGTTGACCTATGCTTTTCTGAGGGGTTACGACCTATGAGTCTTTGATGGCGACGCAGGTAGAAAAGGTGCAAGTTGACAGCAAAAGGAAGGAAATGAATCACTCAAAGGTGCACGCAGAATTACAGCTTTCAAATCAGTGGCAGCCAAATGCCTGTATTGTGTTAAGAAAAGTTACAGGATATATACTTTTACAAAAGAACACAAATGCACCACATAATATTCATAGATGAACTACATATTATTATAATTATTTAGGTAATGGATATCACGCAACAGAATCCTGAAAGCATTAATAGAATATATTTATCTACGAATATTCATATAAATTGACGCTAATGATCTCCTAATTCATTTGAGATCCCAGTTATATTAACTCATTCATGATCTCTTGGCGATTCATTATTTCTTCCTTACATACCATATATAAACGATGATGGAAATAATGTATACTGGATGACATAAAGAAAATGTATGATGAACAGCTCTTCCACCGTCCGTATCAAAAGATAGCAAGTACAATAGTGCATTTTAAGAAAAACATGCTGTCAATCATAACTGATAACATACTAAACATTTATACTGATTTACATTTCAAAGGAAATTTCAACAATTACGCTGAAAATTGATATATAGCATTTTTAGCTAAACTCAGTACGCTGACCATAATTCTATCAGGTAAAAAGGAAAAAAAGAGAAAATTTTAAAAGAATACAATTTTAAAAAAATCATACTATTATTGACAAAATATTTTATTATTATTATTATTATTAAAATTATTATATTATTTTAATCCAATGGTGGGCGCTTCCTTATTCAACACTGACGACTTCTAAGACCAGAAGTGGCGGCTATTTTACTGTGGAGGCACTTAATGGGCGGCAACTTACTTTTTTTATGCGATAAATTTTAATTTTTCATTTTCCTTAAACAAAGAAAATGTCGTTATTATAAGAGTCTTAACACATCCCTTTAGTTTTATTTTCAAATAATTAACCCACTTCGAAAAATCTTTAATTCGTTTCGAAGATTGCTATTCAGTGTGCATTTTTAGTCTGAGCTCATCAATCATAAAACAAAAAGATGACATGAAACAAAAACTTAAGGGAAAAAAGTGCCTCAAATGCTTTCTTTCCTTTTCACTGCAATCTGTAGACTCTCATATAAAAACTAACGCCTGAGAACAGAAACGGAGTCTAAGACGGGTTACAGTTGCTAGCTTGGATTACTTCTTTCAAATCGATATCTATCAGCATGTTGCCACTGGAATAATCGGTATCACTGATACAAACTTTTGTTAGCCAAGGTATAAAGCCTTAAACATTTATGAAAAACGTAACAAAACTAGCATCTTTACTTGAATGAATGACAGACAGAAACCGGCAATGACACAGGCCATAAAGTCAACCAAAACTTACGATAATATTTATGCACAAAATTTCCAAATTTTTCATTACAGAAAGAAGCAACTTTTGGGATCCTGTACCGATTGGATTCTTTCTATAAAATTTTCCATTAAACGTTATTCTGAAGAGTCCGAAGCTGAAAGAAAAACATTATCAGTAAATTAATGCTTACCTTCTTGGAAAGTTCAGGCCCATTCTCCATAGCATACATGATTGCTTCAGAAATTTTAGTATCCAAAACGCTTAGGACTTCTTCAATGTTATAAGAACCGACAAGGCCTGAAGTCAGTCTTTCTAGTCCACTAATGTAATCACTCCACGGTTGATCCAGTTCCGCAACATGAGCTAGACAGCCCCTTACAACATTCAAGCAATAACCACTGCAAGGTTTCGCCTTAGCGTAACCCGCACATTGAGAACAGTACACCAGTTTTGTAAGGCCGGCGTTGCAGTCCGGCCTAAAATGCATGTGGTCCGTAGCAGCTATGACTTCGACGCCAGCTTGCAAAGCTTCCAACAAAGTCCGGGCAACACTGAAAGACCTTGTCACATGAAGAGTTACTCGATCAGCGATATCTCCGAATGGTCGGATTTCTTGCTGGGTCTGACGCAAACATTCTTTATAGTCTTCACTGAAGTCTTTCAGCTTCGGGTTTATGGAATGATGATAAACGAGTGGGAAGAGCAAGTCAAAAAAGGCAGTCACGCGGGCTTCGAGTTCTAATGACTGTCCAGAAATATAGGAAGACAGGTCTGTATACAGTTGGGATACAGGCACACGGGCAAAACCGTCCATCTTTTTGTAAACTTCTGAGAACAATACGTTCGTATTATTCTGAGATACGTGGATCATCTCCAGAAAGTTTTCTGAAAAATAAAAAATGATACATTAAAAACGTTGTTAATAAGTCTCGACTCAAAATACAGTGATACCTCAGTATACTTTATTAACGTACATTTATATGACATAATCACATCAAAAAGATAAGTTTGATATTAGAATGCTAATAAGAAAAAAGTGCGATTATTACTGTGGCTTTGCAAAAAACAGTTCTTTGAGAAAATGGCGCCGCATAGTACATCTTTTGATGTTGCTTTTCTACGATTTCAATGCAATTGCGTTTCTACGATTTCAATGCACAATCCCATCAAATACCACTTCATTACTGTTATCATATTAATCCATCATTTGCTAAAGATATTTATTCAGATGTGGTATAAGACGGATACAAATGTGGTATCATATCGAGAAAGGAGGTTTAAGAACAAACTGTGTGATACTATTTAATGAAGTTGTAAAGATTGGTTGGTTCAGAAGCTATATTGGCCTTCTGTATCAACGGATCTTACATTACATGACTTTTCTCCTTTTGGAAGTATAATTAAAAGAATGCTTTATTTAGGCCACTTTTATCCACAAGCTTATATGATCCCAATACTTAAAATGCTATTTCTCTGCAGACAGACCAAAGGATATATAGTCGCTAATGTGCCCCCCTTTATTAATAAGGCGACTTGAAATACTTTAAATTGACTGTATAATACACGAATATAATTGAATAAATTGACTGCATGAAACACGAAAATCCGCCCGCAAAATTAACTTAATAATTTAAAACTGGAACTTAAAAGAGTTTTTTTATTGTGTTTAAAGTTTTTATGGTTTAAAACTTCAAAGAGAATAAATCAACGCAAACCAGAATCTACAAAACTTTAACCCTTTATGCATACTAAATGGTAGAGAAAATGTAGGCTTCAAAAAGGAATCTAAGCATTCGCTTATTTAGAAGACAGAGACCTTGCTCGTTAACCACTGCAACACTATTCGTTGAACGTTGAGAAAGGTCAAATAAGGACAGCATTCTCACTGCGCGGCTTAAGATTAATTATGCTAATTTAGATGTAACATTATCTAGAAGTTCGCCGCTGTAATCTTAAATAGGTTAAGAGCTTACATGAAACCAAGTTAAGATTTAACAAGATTATCTTATTAACTAAAACTCGCGCCAGAGAAAGAGAATGAAGATAAATAGAAGATAAAAGATTCCTTTTAATTGCCATGCATTTAATCTAAAGGGACTAAAAGTTTGGTAAACTTTTTCATTATTACCCACCACTAGGAAAGGATTTTAAGAATAAACCAAGATAAAAAGTTCTAGCACTACAGAATCAACTCAAAATCCCACAATTAAATTTTATAGATCCTGCTTCTGTGCAAAAAAACTTTCAATACTTTCATACATAAAACGTACTGAAATATAAGAAAATGTATTTGCTCATGACTTTACAACATAAGTAATTATAAATTTACTTTTATTATGGAATCCCAGAAATTACGTTTTAAAGATGCCTTGCAGATCGAACTATTACGCATATATTATTCTGTACGTCCTTACAACATGAAAGAAGAGTTCGCATATTCATTATATTGGGTTGGTGGAAATCTGTGACCATACGTTTTAAAGATATAATTTATACTCAAAAACAGCTTAATACTCAAGCGCATAGAGATTATCATTATATCTACTATCACTTTTCAGATACTAGGCAGGCATATGTTAAGAATTTCAGTTTTTTTTTTTAAACATATCTCAGCCTACACCTTTGAATGTGAGATTTCGTTCTCATATTTAAAGGTTCAGGATCAGGTTTCTCCAAAAGATCGTAGATAGCTACTGAAAAACACATGAATCTTACTTTTATAGTCCTCCTTCTTACCGATACAAATATATATATATTATATATATATATATATTTAAACAAATTTAAATTTAATTTTAACAAATACGTATAAAAGTAAAAAGCAAATTTAAATTCTAAAACGGAAAAAAACCAAAATATTTTTTTAAAAAATGTGCAAATATGTAAAAGATTAATTCTCAAACTAATCTACAATATCATTTAAATTCAGAAGCTAAGCAATCAAGTGCAAAATCAATCCATGAAAATAATTTACTATTAATAAATTAAAATTAAATTAAACAATTTAAAAAAAAATGCATATGTGAACGACCGTTGAGTAGGTAGTAGACAGACTTATCAAGGGGAAGTTGCCTCCATACCTAACTCTCCAATCATTCAATTCGTGTTTCGTCATTCATGCAGGCAAGGGTAAAAGTCAAAACCAAAAGTAATTCCATTTGAAGAACACACTTACTTCTATAATTAAGACACAATAACACGCCGAATAAATACTAATTCAGAAGTCAAACAACAAAAATCAGCGTTATATTTACAAAATTTTCACAGGACTAGTTTCGATGGTTTTACCGAACCACCATCTTCAGCTGCAAAAACCGCAAATGAAAAATTTGCAAGATGGTGGTTCGGTATAAACCATCGAAACTAGTCCTGTGAAAATTTTGTAAATATAACGCGATTTTTGCTGTTTGACTTCTGAATTAACACTTACTTCTCTTTCACAACACTTTTGCAGACCCCAACACTCATTAGTAGATAGTTAGAATTAAAACTTACTATTTACTTGCTTTAATATTTTTTTAAATTTTTTATATAGTATCTAGTGTTTTCTAATATGAAATTATATTTTTAAATATATATTTGTTTTTAAAAAAATTGTGAATTAGTTTCTTTTTGTTTCTTATGGTTTATATGGATTATGTCAATTTTTTAGTTTCTTTTTATTGATGCATATTCGTGTAGGGGAAGTTTCTGTAGGCAAGGGTTTCAAAATACATTGGTTTCAAGATTTTATTATTTTTTTTATAAAAAATTAGTTTTTAAAAAAATTTAATTTTTTAAGAAAAGTTAATTCTTGACTTTTGCTTGTTTCTCAAAGACTTCATTAGTATTTCCTTGTTGAACTTTAATTCTAAATGTTAATTTTAAGGGTACCACTTATTGGATTACTTGTAGGTTTTTTTTTTACCCTTTCCTGCATGAATGACGAAACACGAATTGAATGATTGGAGAGTTAGGTTTGGAGGCAACTTCCCTTGATAAGTCGTCTCCTGCCTACTCAACGGTCAGTACATATGCATTTTTTTAAAAAAATTGTTTAATTTAATTTTAATTTATTAAATTAGTAAATTTATGTTCATGGATGATTTGCACTTGATTTGCTTATGCTTCTGAATTTAAATGATATTGTAGATAGTTCGAGAATTAAATCTTTTACATATTTGCACATTTTTTTTTAAAATTATTTGGCTTTTTTCCTTTTTTAGAATTTAAATTTGCTTTTTTACTTTTATACGTATTTGTTAAAAATTAAATTAAATTTCATTCCTTGCAGCAATGGCGCAAAGAATATTTAATTAAATATGTATTTAAATTTAATTTTTTAATTAAATTCAATTTATTCTTATATATATAAACTTCCAAAGTTTCAGTAACTCAGGATGTATATAAATCAGCTTCATTTGTTCACGAACCATTCATTTTTTAATGGCTTTTTTAAAGACAGATCACAATTTAATGCGCAGCCTAACAACTTTGAAGCGTCATGTAGAAGACGTGCCTTATCGTGTAACAAATGTACAGCAACATACTTTTCCAATTGAAGCAAAGGGGAAAAAAATTTATTCCACCATTTTAATTTAAAAGAGAATAATAATTTAGTTCCTTCGCACACCTCCCTCTAGAAAATTATTCCCGACTATCAAACATGTCTTAGATTATACAAATCTATAAGTTAGGCTGTATGAAGTACCAATTAATCATTCCTCTTCTTCACTTAAGAGTTTATCAATAGCCTCTTGTTTATCAGGGTATTTAATCATAATTTCATTACTTCAGTTACATAAGAATCATAATACACCCTGATGCAAGTCCGCAGTTTTATAGCTTCTTTCTTCCTCTTCAGTGAAGTGCCACTTACGGAAAGTCTCTTTACAATCTTGATGATGTGATAAAGGCAGCTTACTCCGAACAAAGCTGAACACACTTGATTTTTTTTTTAGGGTATAAATACTGATATATTTTATTTATGAGAAAACAAACTGATCTTAAATATAATACAGGTTTAGCAAAAAAAGGGTAATTTGAAATGTTCTATGATAAAGTACCCTTCCCCTCATCACATATTAAACCCCCGTTTTCAAAATTCAATAATTTCATTTCCTCTTAATATGTCCCATGTCAGCAACATTAATTTAAATTCCCTCCCTCTAAAACGTCAATAATCGTTTCATAAATTCAATTTACGACCTTGTATGAAAATTATAATAATTTTTGCAGTTTTAATTTAGATTGAGGCCAACAAAATTCAAGAACCAGCACATCACAATTCATTCTTATTTAGCAAAATAACACATGAAAATGATAGATGATGCATACTTCACAATAAGAAACGAAACGACATGTAGGGTATACTGTGTATTAAAGCAATGGTTAAAATACAGAATCAGCTGCTTTTCACCGTACGATGGTTGTCGCAAGCTGACGGATTCCCAAGCAGTTGAGTACAGGTTCGAAAACCGGATAGGACATAAAACGTTTGGCTCACCAGTGGCCGAGTGGTAAAGTCGCTGAACACTGATAGTCTGAGGTTCGAATCCTACAAACGGGCTGGCTGCATGGGCGTTTTCGCGGTTTTCCTTATCTGTAACGTGTATACAAGCCGGTTGCCATTGGAAAATCATCCACGAAGGCATCCCTTCCCTTAGGCAGATAGCCCTGAGGCTTTGCGTAATAACATAAATCTAAACCTAAACATAAAAATGTTTGTGACTGCAATAGTAGAATCTGTCACGCTGAAAATCTTTCCAAGAAGTTGGTGTTAGAGAAAAAGGGTACAAGATCTTTGGACAGAACTAAGATGGGAGTTCAGACAAATATGTTTCATGTCCTTTTCATCCTCTCGACATATCATGCCTTGTATAACGGAATCCCAAGAACTGACCAGAAAGT